CGCACCAGCTCAGAGCCGGCGAGAGGAGACCAGGGAGCGCTGGGGACCACGGCGTGAGCCCGGCGTCTTCAGACACCCGGTGGGGAAGGGAGAGGCGTGCCGAGCTTGGGTGCTGTCTACCTGACCCTCCGTGGGAGCGGCTTCGCAGACCTGGGGGTTAAGCAGGGTTCCTCTTCTGAGCAGCCATGAGACGCTGGGAGAGTCCTCACTTTTAAGTTTGCTTCTCATCTGTGAAATGGGAATGACACACCGAAGCAGGCTGTTGGGTGGGCTGACACAGCACACGTGCGGGGCCGGTGGAGCCCCTGGCAGGAGGTAAGTGGCTCGCTGAGGTGCTTCCCCAGAGGTGACAGACTCCACGCTGGAGGAGCGGGGATGGAGCGGCTAGGTGTTCATCCTTCCTCAGCGTGGAGCCTCTCATGAGGCCTGGGACGCTCTGCTCTGCCCAGGTTCTGCGTCACAGGTCCAGAGAGTTTCCCTCAGGCCTCTTGCTGCAGACTGCACCGGTGCTCCTTCACTCGCAGCTGCTTCAGGGTTTTCCTTCCCACAGAGCAACCGCCTGAGATGGGTTCAGTCTCGCCCTCTTCTCGCCACGATGAGCCGAGTAGCCCTCCATGAAGTGCAGCAGAGGCAGGAAGACTGGCATGTGAGCCCGCCCCCCGCTCGAGGGAAGACTGGAGGGGGCTCCCCGCACAAGGCGGGGTTTGGTCCCCCCGGTGTTTGAACCCTGGCCCGGGTGCTCACTTACAAGGGACACCGAGTGCCACTGGAATGACTGGTACAGGGTGGGGACCAGGCCACTCAGGCCTCCACGTGCAGTTAGGTCACCAGCCCAGGGGACGCGATGGCCCCACTCCGTCCAGCACAGAGAGCAAGTCTCTTCTTTGGAACTGGGAGTTGTGCCAGGAAGCCCCCTTGCAGGGAGTGGGGACCTTGATAACGGAAAGACATTCATTTTGATGAGCACAGGCTAAAACACCCCCTTTGATACGGCAGGTGTGTGATACTTTCAAAGCTGGGGTTTAGTGATGGGTGAGGGTACGTAAGCTTGGAGTGTGCGGTTAGGCCAGTGCCAGACAGCCCGGAGAGAAACAGAGAGAGACAGAGGCAGGGACAGGGAGACAGAGGGGGAGGGAGGGAGAGGGAGGGAGACAGGCACTGGAGTGTGCAGGGAGTGGAAGTGGGAAGGGACAGAGTCGGGCCGAAGAGCAGGGCGCCCTGATGGAGAGACAGGAAGGGAGACCCAGCAGCCAATGAGGCCTGGGGGAAGAGACCATCCCCTGGGGATGGTTCACAGAAGTGCCGTGAGAACCCTCCTTTGCCCAGCAGCCCCCTCCCCGCACCTGTCTCTCTGCTCGTGGTCTCTAAGCGCCACCTCCCTCTTGTACCCAGGCCGCCTGCTCACGTCTGGTCTGGTCCTGGTGCTGGGAACTGCATGGGGCTTCTCAGGGCATCTCACTCGAGATGGAGTCATCGAGACTAAGTGAGGGTCCCTGAATTCTCAAGCGCCTACCTCGGGGGCTGCACTTGGCACAGGCAGGGCGGGGAGGAACTGAACCGACGGGAGGGAGTGGGAACCGAGCACACGTCTGCTTGACTTACTCTCATCTCAGCGGCAGAGGGAGGCAGAGAATCAGAAAAGATGTGTGAGAGCCGCCCACACACCAACAAGCAGGCCTGTGTGAAAAGGCACCGGACACGGAAGGTATTGGTATAAGCAGCAATTTGAAAAGCTCCTCAGAAGCACACAGGCCGTCCTGGAGGCTCCTCGGCACGGCAGAGGCAGGACTAGGAATGCCGGCCTGGAGCACGAAGAAGCTACGCGGGCGCAGAGAGCTGGCTCTCCATAGACGACGCACGTCAAAAAGTGACTTTTCTCCTGATCCTTCTTTGGCATATATGTTCTTCCTCAGTGTGGGGTTGAGCTCAAGGTCTGGCTCTGTGCTTCTGGATAACTGCTTTGCTCTAGACCTGAGAGATGAGAGGGACAGAGGACACGCGCCAGGAACCCGGATTTCAGAGAGCCGAGACGAGGGGCAGGAACCCAGGCACAAGCTGCAGCTCCAGAGAGTCCAACTGTGGCCTCCACGGCGTCAGCGCGGCCTCTCTCTTGCACAGCCAGGCCCTGCGTGTGGGTTGAAAAGTGAGTTTTCAAAGCAGAAGGGAGAGCTGAGGAACCCGAGGCCACCTGCTCCCCGCACTCTGGGCTGGGTCACAGGACCCGGCACCCAAGGCACCTTGCAGGGAGGCCCGGGCTCAGGCACTGGCTTCATTTCCTAACGCATCCCCACTCCTAAGGCACTGAGAGGTGAGGGAAAGCCTCACTTGCAGAACTGCATTTCCAGGGGAAATACGGCCGCCCGGTTTCCTTCATCTGTATCGAGTTCTGTCCCCTCGGTACCTGCTTTACCGTGTTCCTGAAACTCTGCGTGTGAGTGTGCGTGACTGAAGAGGAAAGCCTTCCATCCAGAAGTTTCAACCAATGCATGCCTAGCTTACCTGATAATTCAATTTTTTCTCCCTTTACTAAACCTTCTCAAAGGTTCCTACCTTGCAGCTTCTCACTTTTTACTGACCCAGGCCACCATTCAGTATCGGTGCCGGACTAACAGCACACAGAGAAACGGGAGTCAAGAAGGAGGCGGGGGGAGATGGGCTGGCCTGTGAACACCAGTCCCCAAGGGTGAGCACGACTGGACAGCTGGGCCTGTCAGGAGAGCGGCAGACTGCACGCCCTCCCCCACCCCAGCGCGCTCTCGGCTCAAGCCGGCTCCTTCCAGGGCCTTGATATTTTGCGGCCGTTGTAGTGTACTTTGAAAACTCCCACTACTGCTGTGAGAGACGCATGCAAGTCTAAAGTCAGTCTTCCAGTGAATAATACAACAGGACAGTCGCCCAGGGAGCCGTGGGAAGAGGAGGGTCCCTCTGGCCCCTGGGCCGCGAGGGCGAAAGAAGTGCGGGCACTGCGTCCGACACGGCGTCCGCTTGTGTTCGCCGTTTATTAGAAAAATCAGATTTTTATTTTACACAAAAGTTACCTTAAAAACAGAAAATTTACCGAAAACTACTGAATCTCAGACAGAATGGTTACTACCAAAATGCAGATTTACACGGTAAACCTGAGGGCCCAAAACATTCAACTCACAGCAAAGCCTTACATCTTCAAATAATCATTATCAGAAGCAAAAACCAACTATGTACATATTTCAAAAGACGTGACAAAGACAAAATAATGAATGCCAGCCTTCGCTGTGAAGCTAGCTAACAAAAGAAAATGCCTCTACTCAGGGTTGGCCCATTACTTTGCTGAGAGTGAAACATTTGAAGAGTTTTTAAAAATATCTGAGCATAAATATTTAGGGCTGCATACAACACACATATGCACAAACACATCCATTTTAATTCTATGCCCCTTTGTATTTTTAAAATTGCACCGTCTCTGTCAGAGATAGCATGTAACATGCAGGAGGCATTCCTGTTTTTCTCAGCAGTGGCGTGTTACACAAGTCAAACGCAAACTCAAGAATGGATTCAGTTCAGCGGGAAGCCACTGCCACTTGGTACTTTGGCTCATAATTCTGTTAATGCTTTACGGGTTGATGAAGTCGTCCACATAAAAAAAGTTGGAGAGAACGCAGTCCATTACCAAAGGTACTTGGCAGACAGTCCCCAGTGCATGCAGAAGTGCTGGGCCGGAAACCGGAAGGAACCAGTTAAACAGCACAGCAGTGTTCCCCCTGCTTCAACTTCCATATCCAGCTGAAGATAAGAAGTAATTATATCCAGGGCACTTTGCAGCAGTTACTAGTTTATGCCATTTCATGTATATAATGTCTTCATAATTCACACCAGGATGCAAAGTAACTCCTCTCCTCTCCTCTCCCACCAGCCTTCCTCTTGTTTCCAGAAAGAAAGAAACACTGACGCAATACGTAGCTCCTGAAAACAAAGTGGGTCTCCAGTTACAGTCACGGGCTGCTGGCAGGGATGAGGGATCACGGGACCCGCCCTAAATTCTGCAGGATGGGACAAGAGGACTAACCAGTCAGGCACAGTGATGGGCTCTGGCTCCCCCCAAGATACGTGCCCGAGGGTCACTGCACGTCCTCCAGCACAAACACACTCTGTTGCCTCACAAATTCAAGGAAGCGGGCGAGTGGAGAGGGAGAACAAAATTCCTTCTCGGACGGGACAGTGCGAAGGGACAGTAAAGACGGAAAGAGCATTTCAATGAAAATACGAGGAAGGAAAGCTGTAAGCCCTCAGGATGATTGTTTCAGTGGTTTCCGAGCCCGTCAATACAACGCAAACCCTAATTAAGCCACAGGACTCGACTCACGAGACGCCCGAAGGACAGAAACAAGTATTTCACTATCAAACAGCAATGTTACGCCAGTAACTCACTGCACTTACGCTGGAGCTAAGCCACAGCGCTGAGACCCCAAGGACCTCTGTCCACCCTGTTCAGCACAAACATCTGCTGAGTGACAGCAAGACGTGGTGCTCTCTGGGGGAGAGATCGAGGGCTGAGGATGAAGGATGAAACGCCGTGTCTAAGTGGCACACAGACGTACCCCGACACAGGTTAGGGAGGGAACACCTTCCTTACCGGGAATGCTCAGAACCACCTAGGTTCACAGACCGAGGCTGAGCATTCAGGTTTCCTTGAAACGTTATAACTAAGAGAATGGAGCACTCCGCGATCACAAGTGCGGAATAAAACAGAATGCCTGTCCCAGCGCTAACCCGCAGCCTCTGGCGACTTTGGAAAACACTGAACATACCCAGAACCAGTAAGTTACATTTTGCACACACAGGGTGCGTGTCTGTGTACGCAAGCTCGTCTTTGTGCATCTGTGTGTCCTTGTGTGTGGATGTAAGTAAATGAATCAATGCCATTGTCAGCATACGCCTTCAACTTTGTTCTGAGTAACATCTATATTTTTTTGGAAAATACATGATACATTCTTGGAAATCAAGTGCCACCTAAAGTCTCAAAATTATAAGTGAACAAACTTTATTTTCTTCATTTAAAATCCTCTTATATGAATACAAACACTTGCAAAATGAAGATCTGCTCCCACAGAGCAGTGGAGGTGGCATCAAACACCAGATTTTTGCACATTAAGCGGGTGGCCTCAGAGTCCGTGGCGTCAGTGCTACATCATCCGAAAAGCTCCCTAACACTGACGCGAGGGGCTGAGGCAAAGAAGAGGTCCAAAAGCTACGGCGTCAAGAACAGCAGAGTCTGCTCCAGGGACCACTCCCTGCTGTCTGGAAAGCAGCGTACAAGATTCGTCATGGAGCCCGCCAGTAACTCGCTTCTGGGATTCCAACAGCGGGCGAGATTAGTGGCTTTTGCAGGTAAACAGAGCCAGTGACTAGCCATGGGGAAGGTCCAGTCTCGAAGAAATGGTAGCAAATCTGAAAACTGGTTTTGAAAACCCTTTCTTATAGAAGAGGGTGGGATTTTCATACAAATCATGGCTAATTACATGGCCCAAAACATTTAAACATACCTCCATGTATCATATTCATGTTCCAAACACCAGATAACCCTATCCAACAGTGGACTCGGTACACATGACAATTCTATTGTGAAACACAGAGGCAAAACATTAAAATGATCAAAACTCACATTAAGAAAACTGAACATAACAGAAAACCCTAGAAAGAGTGAGAATCTGTTTTCTGAAGCCCTAGAGGAACGCTTCGTCAGTTACGCCTGGGTCCCTGAGAACTCGAGTGTTCTGACTAAAGGCAAGTTTTGGTAAGAATTGCGTTTTTACACTTGTTTACAACAAAATAAACAATGTTTTAGGCAGCCTTTGGTGTCTTGTGTGTTTTATAGTTAGTATTACTCAAATTTTGTCTGATGTGAACAATTCTCTTCTCTGTGGATCAGTCCAGGGGTGAGTGGCAGGTGAGGGAAGCTGCATTTTGCTGTAATTTAAAGACCCACTTCATCCTCTGGAAGGGGCAGAGCACGAGGCACCGCACCTCACGGTTCTGTGCGCCTCCCAGGTCTGTCCAGGCGTGGCTGGCAGATCCCCTCACGGCTACGTCCAGAGCGAGGCGGCAGCACGACGCCTGGGCCCGTCAGAGAAACCGCACTGGAAATGCACATTCCCCCGAACGAGTCAGTCGATTTTATTCATTTTACAACATGCGTGATAATCAACGGCCAAGCACAAAGCTCTTTATAAAAAAGAGCAAAATGGACTCCAGGAAAGTTGGACAAAGGCATGAGATGCATTTCAGTTAAGTGGATCTACTGCTTTCTGAGCTTTGAGAGCTCATCTGAACCACCGCATAGAGGCTGAGTGTTTTACATCATTATCACATCTAGAGATCATGCAGACGGAGAAGAAAAGTATTTGGCTTAACTCTTACTTCTACAGAGTGTTTTACAGGCAGTTTTAAAGACCCAGATCTGCGCCTCTCCCCTCCACCACAGCTCTGGGAGTAATTAGCACAGCGATAGCAGGGCGACCAGGGAAGAGAGAGGCAGACGATACGGCCGTCTTCTTAGAAGGAAACCCCCAAATATTTTACGGCATGAAACACAAGGCTTTTGTTATCCAAAAGTAATTAGTTGCAGAGTACAAAAACATTTTGGAGCAGAATGCACACAAATATGAGAATCATAAGCCGCCCAAACCAAGCATATTAATAATAAATTCTTAAAGAAATGCATGTGTTCCCTGTACCTTACAAAAATCATTCCCACAGATTTTGAATCCAAGATTATATAATAGAAAATATTTATGTGTTTTACATTGAATATAAAAATTACTAGCAAATAAAAAAGGCTTTGACGATACACAAGAGGACCTTTCAGCGGACACATTCATCTTTAGGACGCCCCGAGGGTGACGTGCCCTAAGTACCCTGCTCCTGCTCCAGGTAAAGGCCAAAGGCAGGCACTTCCTCAGCGTTCATCACTGTCATTAAAGGAAGACTCAAGGAAGCTGGGACAGGAAGTAAAAACTGAGCCGAGAAGGAATTCTGCCAAGCACAATGCACCCTGCTTAAAAATATTTAAGAACAGAAATCAAAGACAGTACTGAGGGCACATCAAGGGACTTTATATTGATGCGTTTATGGTCTAGGTGACCAATGTCACAACAGGAAGTCCGCTAAAACAAGTGTGCAAATAAGTAACAGGGGCTGGGGGGGAGAGGAAATGTCTACTCTTCAGGGTATAAACTGCAGCAATGTCACGCCCCCATTCACCCTCCACGTGCACCTCGGACACCTCCGTAAGTTAAAGACCAGTGACTCACAAAACTTCAGTTCAGTGTTAACACTTTTTTACCTGTTTAATTTAGGGATAGACACTGAGTTTCTTTAATAAGACATTTGGTTCTAGTTACTCACAAAGATCCATTTTTCATCCTTGTAACTCAGGAAATTTTAGTTCTCATTTAAAGCCCTGGAGTGTTCTCTTAGAAATGATTTGCCCTTTAGGTCAACATTTATCTAAGCACGTCTGCAAACGTTCTGTTACAGGAGGAGGAAGGGTGCTGAGCAAGCTTTCCTCCGCGATCAGGCAGCTCCGTTTTAGGGACTGGCACCCTTCCAGTTCAGGAGGAAGCGTTTCCAGGTAATTACCCATGAGCTCCAGATGAGTAAGGTTCGACAGCTCACCCACGTGAGGGGACAAACTCATCAGGCTATTTTTCCCCAAAAGTAAACACTGCAGCTTTTTGCACTGAAACAGCCCATCTGGTAGCATCTCAATCTGGAAAGGGAGAAAAAGAAGCTAGTAAAACTGGTTTTGGATGGCCTACCACAACACATTTGTTTATATACACCCTTACATTCCCCCAAAAACATCTGAAGTAGACAGAGACGATTTTAAAGGAAAAATGAGGACATCCCGACATGGAGTCAGGACTGAAGCCACCACGAACTTCTAAATTCCTGTTGTACACAAGTGGGCAACCGGTTTGGCTCGAAACGTTCTAACGAGCAGTTCTTAATTCTCAAAGAAAACCTCTCCGTTACACATTCATCCCTAAGATAAAAAAACAAACCAGTAACTCGGGAGAATCATAATTATTCTTGAGTCTTAGATCAGAAATAAATCGATCTCAAGAATCCTCAAACGGAGTTTGCTGTGTGTGTAAGGGGCTACACCATCAAGAACGTCCCGAGAACGGACACAAGGCTACTTGTGAGGGCTTCACAGTATAGACTGAAAACTCGATGCTGTTAAAAAAAAAAGTTGACAGAAGCAGAGACAAAAAGATATAATACATACATATGTACAGTTCATTCCCCTCTACATACACACACACGAGTTTTCACTCTTCCTGCTCTCTGGGAGCTTTGATTAAATCACACAACAGAGAGATCACTTTAAGTACGATAACCAGCCCGCAGTTAGGTCAAGTCTCGCAGCGGCTCAGCTGCACTGCTCCGTCTCTGGGGTGAAGGGTGCCATGTGAGTTTCCGAGGGAGCCACAGTGTATATATAAATGTACAGGATTTACTGGGGAAAGAGCTCCAGCGAGAGGCTGAGCACACACAGTGCCCTTCACCCTCATCCTGCCACTGAGGGGCATGTTTGCCCCGGGCAGAGTGAGCTGCACCAACCCGCCCTGCAACGCTCGGCAGAGATGCAGCAGAGAGATGAGACAGAAGAAATGTAGCCTTTCTGATCAGAGACGCCTGCAGCTCAGGAGCAGGGTCGGTGAGCAGAGGGAACAATCAGTCCTGCGCTGTGAGCTCAGGGTTGACAGTGCCCTTTGATGCCGAGGCAATGACAAGCAAAAATGAGTTGGAAGGACGGAAGGCTTAGCTCACCTGTATTCAGTGGACGCCTGCTGAGCGCCTGGGCGGGGGTTGTGCCAGGTTCCCAGCCAGGTGTCGTACACAGAGTGCTGAGTGAGACAGATGGGTCTTTGGGACCCATGCAGGGCCTCTCAACGTTGGCACCGAGGACATTTTGAACGGCATAGTGTTTCTGTGGGGGTGCCCTGAATACTGGTCAATGTTCAGCAGCCTCCCTGGCCTCTGACCACTAGACACCAGTGCCACTCTCCTCCAAAGCTGTGACAACCAAAAACGTCTCCAGACAAACGTCTTCTGGGGGGCAAAACTGTCCCCATCTGAGAAGCACCGGTCCCACAGGGGAGAGAAACAGCAAACAATCACAGCAATCAGCAGTCTGCAACGGCCGCCGTGCAGAAGAGTGCCCTAGCCAGGGCTGCACCAGGGAGTCCCAGTCTCCCTTCTGCGGTCGGTCGGCTTCCAGATCCCAGCAGGTACCTTGCTTGACTGGACTATTTCCTGCTGGGTGAACACCCTGAGCCATTGCCTCCCTCTCCTTCTGTCCGGCTGTCGGTACTACCCTGTCTCACCGATCGTCCTTCGAATCTCAGAATTTGTGATTTGAGCGACTTCCCAGCCCCCAGTACAGGCAAGGGATTTCGCCAGGTAATAGGAGTGCCCCTCTGGGGTCAGCCCCTCAGTCGTGTTGCTTTCATGAAAGGAGCTAAGGGTGTGGCTAGAAGCATGCTCCCTGAGTGTCAAGCGTCCCTCTCAGGGGCCTTCTCTTAGGATCAGCAGCCAGCTAAAGCACAGGACCTCAGCTCACCTGCTGGAATTCATCTTTGCTAAAGGAGGCGGGGGAGCTGTGTTAGAGACTTGAGCAGTTTTACCCTGAAAAATCTACTTACACATTTTGCCTGAGCCAGTAAAATTTAAAAAGAAATGTTTAGATGGCATTTATTTACACTGAATTCATTAAGCATGCTCTTTCTTAGACTATATAATATGTGAGTCAGGAAGGAAAAAAATTCCTCAGTGGACTAGTGATTTCCTCTCAAAAACCAAAAGAAATATTTAGACTATCAGATGATAAACTTTATAAACAATGGTTTTATAGGATAAATTTTATATATACATAAACTGAAAAAAAAACCAACCACCATA